AAAGTATTTTACAGTAATTAATTTATTCTGAGCATGCGCAGACGTTTTGTCAATGTTGCCGGGAGAGGCAATTTTTGATAAAATCGTGAAAAAGACCCACTTGGGATTTTCAGATCTGGAAAAAAAATTACGTGCATACTCGGAGGGGACATGTTCATCAACCTGCCAAGTTTCACTGATATCTGCTGTAGAATTTCTGAGAAAATGTTGGAGACGGAATTATGGACATAACCTGAATTATTAGTCCCCTTTTCAGGCTGTGCCTGAACGGGGACTAAAAAAAAGCACTCTAGAAGGTGATATATACCTTTTACAATTCATTTGTTGTGTAACCGGGTAATTATACTGAATGAACAAAGTGTACATATTTGCTTGTAATCAAATCTTATAAAAATATATTCTTAAAGCGAGTGAGTGAAATCAGTCTTTTGAGTAAAAATCAACTTTTAATCAGTGTTTGTCCATATTATACATCAATGATGGCTCTAATGTTACTATTTTGTACTACAGAAAAATATGATTAGTTTGTTTGCTCAAATACGTATTATGTAACAATGAAACTATTTTCAGGTAGCTGTGATGTAGCAGCACAACATTTTACATTTTGTTTTTGGAGATTACGTTACAATCAAAATACTATTATCACAATTGAGACTGTTTGTGAATGTTCAGTTATACAGCGTTACTATCGCACAATGTGTTGCAAAAATACATATCTTAGGTTATGGTGACGTTACAAAGATTGAGACTGAACAATTCGATGAGCTCTGATTTATGATGTGCATAAAAAAATATCTGAAAACAAATCTGCGCAGACAAATGACTCAAAATACGCATAGACCTTTTATATATATCGCACATTTCCAAAATTGTGTACATTGCTTTACTCATAAAGTTATTTGCATATTAACTTCAACCCCATGACAAGAAAAGTGTCCAACAGACTGGCATTGACATTTTTTTGAAATAAGACATGCACTATGGGACAAGGAAAACAAAAATAATCATAAACAATCCTCCACTACTGAAGACAACATGTTTACAAGAAACCATATGAGCTGCCTTATTCCATGAACACCTCATGTTCATCAGCATAGCTGACCTTATCTAGAGTAATCTGTGCCAGTTCTTTTATTCTTGGGTACAATAAGGGCTGCTGACTGACCACAATATCATGTAGGATTTCACACCCACCCTCTTTCTTCAGTAATGCACAGTATCTTTCAGCTATAAAGGGAAAAATAAAACAAACTTCAAATCAAAAGACTTAATCGAATAGAAATTCTGAAGTTATTGCGAGTATGCATCAAGTAATTTCATCAGTAATATTTAAATAGGTAAAGCTAATGTTGTATATAAGTGCAATGCCCCTCAAAAACCAAAAATGGGCTAGCCCATTGTGCACCACTACAATGGTGCACTCTGTGCACCCAGTGCACTGAATAGTCAATAGGTGCACCGCACCTTACTTGTAATATGTGTGCCGCATCAATGTGCGGTGAAAATGGTGTAACGAGAAACACAAAAAATATTTACGTTTGTTCAAAATGTATGCACTATTAAAAATGTGTCAATACTAAAAAAAGTAACAGAATCTACTCTTGTTATTGCAAGTATGCATCAAAGTAAATTCATCAGTAATATTTAAATAGGTAAAGCTAATGTTGTATATACATGTATTATTATATACACTAGGTGTATTGTAATGGTATGATATTACTTACGAAGCACAGTGCAGAGATTTGCTAATGCCCATACAGACCAGTGCTGTACTGGTGGTGTATGATAACAGGTCAGTAGACGCAAAATAGGTTCAAAAGACCTAAGAAATGAAAAATCAAACAAGTGCAGTGGTTTCAGAGATGTTGACAAATTTGAAAAACAATACACACCATTTCTGGACACTTATTATAAATGCCACCCTCTAGAGATGAAATGATGTGAAATTGGTATGAGTAACATCTTTTCCTAGCTCAGATCTAAGACATCCATCAGTGAAAAAATACTGGGGATTCTAAATAATGAATGACTACACAATCTAAATGTGTTGTACCGTATTTTTTCTATTACTGTAGTAGTCAATGTGCTTACTAAATGAAGGATGTAGGTTTATCAAAAGTATAAATATATTAATTATTTCAAATACAAATACCTAAATTCAATTTTTGATGCCTTTCTAATAGAACTAATACATACATCATTTTAATAAATGTATTGAACTCTCTCATATTGCATAAAGACTGTTTTCATTCCAAGCCTAGCCTTTGCATTGGAAAAATTTGAAAAGTATCAATGGTTGAATCGTGCATATTGTATTGAAGGAATACATATTAGTAAACAATGGCAACCACCCACATGAAAAGAGGAAATTGTAATGGTCACCTAATTTTTAGAATTATAAAGTGAAAAATCACAGCAATAAAATTTTAAAAACTTGAAAACTGAATCACTATATTACCTATAGTTAATGTTACGGTTGGATTGTAAATCCCATGATTCAATAGCCTTTACCATTTTACTGAGCACTTCCTGTCTACTAGGATATTCTACATTCCAAGCAGCGGCCCCATCAAACGCAATATGTGATATGACACCGGCAGCATTGTAACTCACTTCAATACCATCACTCCTATTATCTAATAAGTCACTGCAAGAAAATCAACATATTAATTTGTTATTGCCATCCAAAGAGCGCTTAGTTTGATTTCATGAAGTGTTGCTTAAATGACTTGCATACAAAAACATAATTATAATTACATCAGGCATGAGCCTGATGTAATTTCTATGTCTTAAAAGTTTCATCACAGATGTTTTATGTATTTTGTTACGTATTTGTGATTCGGTATTTTTTTTAACTATCGCCAAATACATCTGAACCAATGCCTATGTAATGAGATTTCAACAAGACCTCCTATGACTGGTTTAGTCAATGAATCACAGACCTCTTTCTATAGCGCACCTGATGATGTCACCAGTCAGCGTCAGTTCATAAACACACTCAAATAAAATGGCAGATTATACAGTGGTCGCGTTTACGCAAAAACATGCGTATATTACGCATCAATATCACATTGTACGCAACAAAATAAACACAGTGCATACTATGTACGCAAAAATACGACAATTTAATTTACTTTCACTAACCCCCTGATAGCGATCATTCGCTGATGCCGAACTAAACGGGTCATTCCAACACCGATTAACAAACACGCCAAATGTACAAATTCAGTAACACGTGTATGTGGCCACCACGCATTTCACTCTCACAAGGCCACTGAGAAATTGACAACTTTTTTTT